GCGCGCCCGCCTCCACCTGCCCCCACGTTGTGCTTCAAGGGGGACGTGTGGGGAGGGGCTGGGGTGCTGTGAACCCGAGCTGGCGGCAGAGAGGCCCCCGAAGGGCAGGACAGGGTGGGCCGCTGTCGCCTAGTGCCTTCCTCCGGCTAGTGGGGTGCAGCTCACAGGCCACAGGCCCTCCCCCGCCCCAAGGACCTGCGCCCACTGGGCCCTCGCCCTGCCCAGCGGCGCGTTGCCCTGGGCCCGCCTGGCCCTAGGCTGGTGCCCAGCGCCCGGTGCAGGCACCTGTCCGCTCGGGTCGCTGCCCAGGCTGGTGGACCCGGGGCCCCTGCCGCGCTCACCGTGTCCTCACGTGTCTTCACCAGGCCACGGCGTCTACACCTACCGCAACGCCTTCTTCCGCTACGAAGGGGAGTGGCGGGGAGGGAAGAAGCACGGTGAGAGGCACCGCGTCCAGAGCTGGGCAGCCGGGCAGCACGCCGGGGCCGCGCGCGGCACCCCCCAGCTGCGGGCCCTGACCTGCGCCGCGCAGCCGCCCCCTGCCAGAGCCCCGCTCATGTGGCCTCGACCCGCCCCCACCCCCAGGCCAGGGGCCGCTCCTGTCCCCGCCGGCTCCAGGCCGGCAGGCCTGGCAGGTGTCCCAATGCCAGAGGGACGCCGGTGCAGGGGGACGGCTGGGCAGGCCGATGGGACCGGCGCCGGCCAGGCCAGGGGCAGCTCAGAGCCGGGGCGTCCAGCCCTGAGGCTTGCTGCTGGTGTCCCGACTTTCTCTAGACGAGGAAAGAGGGGCGTCCGGCGAGACCGCCGGGGACAGCATCTCGCCGTGGGGGCGAGCGGCCCCGCCCACAGCCCGCACCCGTGGCCGCTCAGCCTGCTGGCCGCAGCCGGCCGCTGCCCACCGCCCTGGCGTTTCCTCCACGAGCCCCGCCATGTCCCTGCCGGCGCCCCGCTCCTCCTGTGCTGGGGACACGATGTCCCCTCCCGCAGTGCGGGCGGGGCCCTGCGTGGGCTGTGTCCCTCCGGCAGCCCCGCCCCGCCCCAAGGGCCGCCCCAACCCTGCCCCGCCCCCCCCCAGGCCGCGGGAAGCTGCTGCTCAGAGACGGGAGCTATTACGAAGGCGAGTTTCTGCGCGGCGAGATCACGGGCGAGGGCCGACGGCACTGGGCCTCCTCAGGTTCGCGGCCGCCCGGCGGAGTGGACAGTCTTGCGCAGTGGCCTCGCTGGGGAGGGGGGAGGGCAGCGCAGCCCCAGGAGCGGCCTCTGCAGGGCTCACCCGCCCCACCCTAGGGCAGAGCCACAGCCGGGCAGGGGTGGTCGTGGCCCCGGGCTGGCCTCACCCGCGCTCCCCCCAGGGGACACCTACTCTGGCCACTTCGTGCTGGGAGAGCCGGAGGGACACGGCATCATGACATACGGAGCCGGGGGCCGCTACGAGGGCTCGCTCTCCTGCGGCGTCCGGGAAGGTGTGCTGGCCGCGGGGCTGCCCAGGGGCCTGGGACCCCGCGGGGCGCGGTCGGGAGGGGTCACTCGTGGCTGCGGCCTAGCTGGGGCGTGGTCCCGGCCTCACCGGGGCTTCTGGGCTCCACGAGAAGCCTGGCCCAGGGGTCTTGGCCCGGCCTCCCGCGCCACACTCCTGGGGGGACGGGACAGGACCTTCGTCCAGAGGCCCGCGGCCCGTGGCTCAGCCCCCTGCCGCTGCCGGCCAGCCCCAGCCCCGCCCCGCAGGCCCGTCTGCCCCCCGCGCCCGGCTGCACCCCATGGTGGTCGGGGCAGGCTGGCCGACACAGCTCTGGGGCCTGCAGGACAGGGCTGCCTGGTGGACCGGGCTGGACAGGAGTACCGAGGCTCCTTCCACGGCAACCGGAGGCACGGCCACGGGCGGGTGGCCTTCCGGTGAGTGGCCGAGCCCGCGAGCCTCCCTCAGCCACAGCCCGACCCCTCCGCATGGGCGGGGGCGTGGCCTGCGCGCCC